TACATTGAGTGTATGTGTGGAACACATAACATATCCTTTTGGCTCCTGAGTCTTGAAACCAACAGGAGATACATCCAGACCAGATAGAGCACATCACATTGCAGCAGATTCACAGTAGACTTTGGGTGAGCAAGAAATCAAGCTTTTGTTACGTTAAATCACTGGCTTTTTGAGTTATTTGTTACTGCAGCATACTCCTTCCAAATATATGTTGTTTTTGTTGTGAAGGGCCGTCAAGTTGATTCTGACTCACAGCGATGCTGTATAGGGTTTCCAAGAAGCGGTTGGTGGGTTTGAATTGCCAGTCTTGCAGTTCAAATCAACTTTGTGGTCTAGTGCTTTTCCTACAGTGCCACCCAGGACTCCATTATAATATATATGGGAATTAAAACACTTTTGAGTATTTCTATTTGGGTGCAATTTCTAAAATATATGAAAATGGTTTTAGGGGTCCGTGAAGCACTAAAAATGCATACAGATCTTAGATCTTGGACAGTCATTGCTGTGGGAACACACCAATATCAAGATTTCCCTTCTCAGCCTTGATGTAAACATAAGCAGAAGTAACGTGGGGTTCCCAGAATGAAAACCCACTCTTCCCCCAACATTCATAGCTTCTTCTTTGGTATTACTAGGACTGATAATCACTGTACCTTTTGTCTCTAGGACATCTCTTGCACTTAATTCACATATGGCTCTTTGGGCAATGTTACTTAATTTGTCTCTGAATCATTTACCATCTGACTTGTCTTTTCCTTATTCTTCACTTCTTAGACAGTCTATCTTCTTACTTCTTAGAAGGATTTCTGGTGTATTCCCAGTGCCTAGCACATAGTCCTGGTGTGGCACTGTAGGATAAGCACTGGGCCACAAGGTTGGTTTGAACCCCAAGGTCAGTGGTTTAAACTCACCAGCCATTACTCAGAAACCCTATACAGGGCTGCTATGAGTTGGAAACAATTCGACAGCACTTAACAACAACAAAGGAACATAGTTGATGCTCAATAATTAATGAGACATAGGAATGAACGAAAGAAAGACACCTTTCAACATAATCTCAACCGTCCCCAAAAAAGGTTAAATATAAACTGAATTATCCCATCTAAAAAAATCAAACATCTTGAGAAACATCTGAGAGGATGAAGGCTCATGCTTTGGTATAAACGGAAATATGGGTGAGAGTGGACCATAATGGCATTTTATTCTAAAATAATAATTTCTAAAATTAATAAATATTTTGAATGCAGCTAAGTAGACAAATGTGTTGGTAGATAAAACACTGTCAATAATATGTATTACAAAAACTTGAAGACCAATCTTGAAACAGAAGATAAGAATTTTATGTTTATTATGCTTATTTATACAGTAACAAAATTATGCTTAATAAGCTATACAGCTATTATCTATAAACACTACAAAAATGTAAAGCTGAAACAATAGGTATAACATTATAACCATGTGACTCAAATTAAAAATATACAGCTCTTTTATTCAACAAATTTGCATTGATGATTTTTCATGAATAAAACCACTTAAGATATCTAAAAATAGTCTTTTGTAATAATGCACCAGATGCTAGCTAAAGGCTCAATTTTATTGCACATGACATATATTGGATTTCGGTTTATCAGGTATCATGCAGAAAAAGAAATTATGAATGTAAATTTAAGAAAAGTAGCCAGGATACTGTTTTATACTATAAAATAAGAGGAGGGCTGATATACTTAACAGCTTACTTTTCAGGAAGTTTTATTCAGTGAGTGTATAAAATCATCACATGTGATATGACAGCTATTAAATATTGTTGTTGTTAAGTGCCATCAAGCCGGTTCCAACTCATAGTGACCCTATATAGAATTTCCGAAGAGTGGCTGGTGATTTTGAAACTCCAACCTTGCAGTTCAAACCAAACTTGTAGTCCAGTGCTGTTCCTACAGTGCCAGGTAGTACAGTAAGATAACTGTTAGCATAATTAGAATAAAAAAACAGGACTCCTGGTGTGGTGCTGTAGGATCAGCACTGGACTGTGAACCACAAGCTCAGCAATTCCAACCCTCTCTCCTGGGCCCTCGTCACCTCATTTTTTTTTTTTTTTTTTTAAAGCATCAAATAGCACAATTTTAAGTCCAAATATAGTTGTGTCAAAAATATTCACATAACTGGCACAATTAAAACTATCATTTTAAATATGAGAAAACTAGGGGGAATTTGGAGTCTTGATGTGGCACTGTAGGATAAACACTGGTTTGCTACCCACAAAGTTGGTGGTTCAAACCCAACAGCTGCTCCTTGGAAACTGTATATAGGGTCGCTATGAATCGGAACTGAAGGCAGCTAACAACAACAAGTGAGAGTTGGGATTAGACACACCCTGTAAACCAGTTTTCTAAATAAAGCTAGTGAAACATGTCTGCTTTGGTTCTTAAACTAATTCAGCCAAACAGTATAGTAGCTGTGTTGAGGATATGTAAACATTCTCATGATTTGTATTACTTCCTGAGTTAACTGGAAAACTACTGTTATTACAGTAGTCTAATTTATTATCTTGCAAATGTGCTTTGGAGTTATTAAAAATAATTTTAAAGTGCTGAACTATGCATAACTTAATACAATTTTCCTATTACAAAGCTATCTTCAGGAAACTCTTAGGTATCAAAATAAAGTTTATTCTACCTCCAGTAGACCAGGGAAAATTATTCATAAACTGTAGGCCATTGTAAAAAAAAAAAAAATCAGAATTAGCTCATTTAACACTAAAGAAATGAAAATAAAAGTATCTTATTTGCAAGCTCCATCTTGAATAATGTCTGAAACCTATGTAGGTCTTTTCATTTTAAAACATGTTACAGGAGGATCACCCATAGCAGGTGTTTAATAGTATATACTGAAAGAATGAATGTCAAGTCAAGCATAAAAACTACTGCAACACTTCAATACTAATTTAAGCTAATGCAATAAAGTTACAATATTTCAATTACTTAATTGAAAACTAGGTAGTATTAATTGGTATGCAGAGCAAAGCTTTAAAGGTCTCCTACTCCATAAATACACAACTACTGAAAAAAACTATGTCCTTTCCTTGATTCTTGCTCTTAAAGCATCTTCCCTCACCATCTCTAACTTTAACTGCATTAAGGGATGAGCTAAGAGGCAACAAAAAAGAATACTCGTTTCTTTTATTAGTTCTTTCCCCCTTTTTATGAAGTAAGAAGCAGATAACCATCTAATGAAATGTGTACATATCAGAATAGTAACTTCTCTAGGGATATTTATATTCTGGAGGATATAAAAGACTGCTAATGGCCATAACTACCAAGATGATTGGCTTGAATAAAGGGATTTAACCTTTTTTTAAAAAAAAAAGTCTGGTATTGAATCTTCAATCTTAACGATCGTAATTAAACAGAAAACACATGAACTACCTTTTATAGGGCACAACCTGACTATGCATAACATTTACTGACAAAGATCTATTTCTATGCCATTTCACTGTTAGAAATCAAGAAAAACACTACTATTAAAATTTCAATAGCTTACAAACAGAATTTTTCAATGTGCATTTTAAAGCTCTGCATTTAACAGTAATCACCATATACCATATCATTCACCATGCTTATATACAGCCACTATTCTTCCATTCCCAAGAGAAAAATAAGTTGGGGTTATTTGCCTGTAGTACTACGGCACTGTGGGTTAATACACCAGATAGCAAAGCCGTTTGAACTGCAAGGTTAGTGGTTTAAGTTCACCAGCTGCTCCTTGGAAACCCTATACAGGGTCCTTGGCTATGGGTTGGAATTGACTCGATGGCACGTAACAACAACAACTATTCACTGGTATTAATGATTAGGATGCTTAAACCATGCAGTTATGTGTTTTGATTCAGAAGTAGCCATTATTTTAAAAACCTTAAGCCTTAGTAATAGCAATACTTTTCATGACAAATTCTGTTAGTTTACTCATTTGTGTTCTAGGAAGAAATGACTGTATTTTCACTAATGTTTAAATATTTAAGAAGAAAATCAGAAATGCTAACATGTCTCATTTAAACAAAAGCTAAATCCACTTAAACGTCCTAATTATGCTTGAAGACAAAAAGTGATCTCAAAACTCCAAACTCACTCAGGTCTAACATTTATGAAAATACAAAAGTAGAAAATGGATTATATTTTCCTGTTAAGTATAATAAGAATATAATTTTCTATAACTTACAAAGATAATTTGGTAGTTACATGTCCATGGTACTACACAGTCTCATATGGCTAAGCAATTCTACATATGTTATAATTATCTATAATTATATTTTGACTTTGACTAACTACTTATAAATTACCATTATCATGAATAGGATGATTGCAAGTGATAAACTGATAAAGTATTTCAGTCTTTTTCTAGTTCTCAATAACAAATAATCAGTAAGTATCAATAAACAATAAGTTAATTGATAAATTGATTATAAGCCCCTAATACTGAAGTTATAGTGGTGCCTGACCAATACAAAATATGACAAAGTAACCACGTCATACTAGGTATGCCTTCATATAATTAGGTGCTATGGCAGTGCTTCCCAGCACACACGTACTCTTAAATATCCCTGAGATGATTTTAAGGGGGACAAATAAACAGTTTTTCTTTCATAGTTACGTATTTCCTTTAATGTTTATTTGAAAAATACAGCTAACACATGAAATACAGAATATTATTGCTCTAAACAGTAGGGATAATAAAAGTGAGACTGAAAAAAAAAAATTGAAAAACAAGTAAATGTTTTGTTACATATATTTACTGCATCAAAAAGTAAAAACAACAAAAAAATGCTGAATCAAAGTAAAGGATAAATACATATATAATCATATACATATAAAAATACATATGTATATATACACATACATATACAAAAGAGCTTTAAAAAGTTTGTGGAAAAAAATCCCATTGTCTTTAAATTAATTTTTCATAAACTTTTTGAAGTTCCTTTGTATACACAGAGACACACAGACACAAGAAATCAGGAAGGTACCATGTGACTTACATTTGGGAAGCACTGTTTTAAGGGATGATGTGATTTAGCCAGCATCATTTATAAATCCTTGTAACAAAGAGCCATAAAGGGTTTTCCTATATTACTGTAAACTCTGGTTTTATTCTAGGACACATATTTAGGAAAAAGCATGTTTTTATATTTATTAATATAGAATTGAAATTGAATAAATTTAATTTATTTTAAAAGGGTTCACCAAAATGGTGAAAAATGTGGAAACATTTGAGAGACATGCTATTCCTACAGAAGAGAGGCCACAACAAAGGCACATTACTCATTATAGTTCTCAATGCAGCATATAAATAAGAGTGATCTAAAATAATCATTACCATTATAGTGAATAGGTAATCATAATATTCTTTCATAAAAAAGAAGGTAAGCTTGTGCACTAAGTGCTCTTGATTCTGGAACCACCTGCACGTAAGTGTCACTAACATGGACCCACTGTCCTGTTGATTCATTCTCAGATTCTTTCAAACCTGACAAAACAAAAAGTAGCAAAATGTTTTATGTTCTTACTTTAAATTATAAACAGCAATACATTCAACATACACTATATTTACTTTAGCTAGATCTAACTGCATATGTCTATTTCTTCCAAAGTCTCTTTCAAAGGATATTACAACAATAATTAATTGTTATTCCCAATTAATATCACTGTTCTTTAAATATCTAATGAAATATTAGATAGCCTTGCAAATAGTTACTTGCTCAGAGAAAATCATCTTCACTACAAAAGAAAGAAAACAATGTTTATTTGCAGACACATATGCAAAGTCAACAAATTTTCAACTCCTACTTGTATTCTGAGGACCTGGTATATCTTCAAAAATTTTTAGTATTGTTAGATAAAGTATGACTTCACTACAATAAAGACACTAAGACGACAGAAACCCTTGTAAAACTGTGTGCCTTTTCATATTATTAGAAGTAGCATAGTGGTTACAAATTAGGTTGCTAATCTCAAGGTCGGCAGTTTGAAACTACCAGGTGTTCCGCGGGAGAAAGATGAGGCTTTCTGCTCCTATAAAGATTTACAGCCTTGGAAACCCTGTGCAGGGTCACTATGAGTTGGAACCGACTCCATGGTACTTAACAACAACATTGGAGTCCTCCTGATGTGGGTGTTGCAGGATAAGCAAAGTAGGCAGATCACACCCTCTAGCCAACTCCTTGGAAACCCTACTACAGGGTCACTATGAGTCAGAACCAACACAATTGCACTTAACAAAAAGAAGAAGAAGGATGTAATGGTCTTAAGATTTTTTAGATGACCTCAGCACTCTTGCCAGTAATTTTTTTATCATAAAGTGAATACACTTGAGGTACCCAGGAATGATAACTTCTCTCTTCCAAATAAGAAAAGGAAGAATCAATTTTATTTATTTGAATGAATTAAAATGACCTTGGGGTGACATACCTGGTTCCTTCTTCTTTCCAATGGCAGGGTCCAATAGGTTCTTGGAGGGTGCTCTCACTTTTACATACGCCGTATAGTGGCCTCCTTTCAGTGAGCCACTATGTTCCACTACTCCATAGAGACTATAAAGCACTTCATCTCCCACACTTACATTCTTTCAAACAACAACAAAAAAACAGATTAATAGTATTTAGTGTAATGTTATTGGAAGAAAATTAAGCCAATATATGACCTGCATGTAATAAGAGAACTGCATATTAAAACAACATGGATATACTTTTCCACAAAAGTTATCACACAAGATGAGAATGCTTCAGTACATATTTTGTTGGCTGGGCTGTGAGAAAAGAGTACTGTTATGCAAAGTGCAGGTGGGAAAGCAAAAATGGTTCTAACTCTCTTCTTATCTAACTCAGTTACTCTATTTCTAGGATTCTAGCACACAGAACAGAATGGACTGGTATTGGTCATTTTGAATCTGACAACTACATGGTTTACTATGCTGGGAATGACAAATTGAAGAGGAATAGTATTGCATTCGCTGTCAAAAAGAACATATCCAGATCAGTCATGAGGTATAACGCTGTCTGTGATATGATAATATCCATGCACCTTACAGGGAAGTTCAATTAATATCACTATTATACAGATTTATGCACCAACCACTAAAGCCAGTGAGGATAAAATAGAAGAATTCTACCAACTTCTTCAATCTGAACTTGATCAAACATGTAATCAAGATGTATGGATCATTACTGGTGATTGGAATGCAAAGTTTGGAACAAAGAGGAAGGAACAGTAGTTGGAAAATATGGCCTTGGTGATAGAAATGATGCTGGAGAAAACATGATAAAATTCTGCAAAACCAATGATTTGTTCATTTCAAATACCTTCTTTAGACAGCATAAGAGACGACTGACTATACATATGGACTTCGCCAGATGGAATACACAGAAATCAATTTGACTACATCTGTGGAATGAGACGATGGAAAGCTCCATATCATCAGTGAAAACAAGGC